TGCTAATTTTTTTCGCAAACTCCTATTGCAAAAATCTTTCGATAAAAACTCATCATTTGAGTCCAATATCATATCTCTATAAGTTTCATCTGGATCCCATGCTCTAAAGATGAAATCCAGCATACTAAAATATCCTGGATCCGCCACTAAATTCTAGACATTTCTAATTATTCATAAAATTTAAACATCATTTCTTTTGAAAAGTGATTTGTCTCATCAATGCCAGATCAGAACACCAGAACGGTCCTATTTAATCACTCAGCTTTGTTTCACATTGAAATTTTTATTTAATAAAATGTTCTTTTTCGAGTATATGACTTTTGTTGTTATCATAGTTCGAATAGAAATCTTTAGTTATAAATTAATATCTTTTTATTTAAATATATCTATTCATATAAAATCTCGTAATCGTTCGATTGATTGATTGTTTTTTTTTTTCATTTTGTGAAATATGTATGTCAAAATATAATCAAACGTTCACAATTATCAAAACACAAAAAAATTCACATACTAAAATACCAAAACAAATGTGTAATGTAAAACAAAGAAAAAAAAAACAAACCGAACAGTCATTTTTGGCACAAGAAAAAACAACTTTCAATATTTAGCAAATAACTAGATGAAAAAACGAGCACCCGTTTTTCAATTAAACACACAAAAAAAGAAAATATATATATGTATATGATATTCAGTTTGTTAAAGCAAGTTACAACATTATGTTTTTTCACATACACCGGTATAAGAACAAAATAAAAAAAAAAAGTATCAAAGTTGTTATAGAAATAAAATTTTTATGAAACGAAGTGATATGAACAACTAATCTAGATTACTTTTTTTTGTACTTAAATATACAAAACTACGGAAAATATTTAACTATTTATAACTCGGATTCATTTACTGCATTTGCTTCGACATCAACATGATTTAATAGAACTTTTTTTGTTTGTAAAGTTGTTATTTCAACCGATGATGATGATGATGATGTTGGCATACTTGAATTTGATGAAAGAAATGCAATAACAAGTTCATACGTACTCATCATAATTGCTGTATTCTATATATTAAAATATTAAAAAAAAAATAATTTAGAATAAAGGATTCTGAATCACATTTTTAAATTGAAAAGTCACTTATATCATTTTATAGAGACTTAAACCTTTGGAAAATAATTCAATGTGATGTCATCAACATGTAACTTTCCTAGAAGTAAAACACCGTAACCACATCATGCAATGCGAAGAATATTTCGTGTTTTTTTTTCAAAGATGATATTGTGTCTAATGAAGAACTAAGTGCTAATTTTTATTTAGTAAAATTTTCCTTAACGAAAAACAGATCGAGATTTCGTAAAAGATTTTTTTATTCAAACGATGAATATTCGATGTGAACGAAGCAATAACGTCAATTATCAAATATACAAGATTCAGTAACAATCAGACCTTGACTATTAGAAAGAATTTTACATAAGTTAATTTCCAAATATGTTGGCATTATCAACTTGACAAAGGTGTCGTTAGTATTGGATGTGTCCTGAACTACTATAAGTGATTTTTCAATTTAACGGTGGTCATGAAAACCGACAGAATTATTTTCTTACTGGAATTTGTCGAATAAGATGTGTTAATAAACCACGATATAATCCAGCAAAATTTTCTTCATAATAAACTGTTTTTAATGTTTGCATAAATGTTCGATATTTCATACCCTCTTCTCTTAAACGTGTTCGAACAACTTCATGAGGATAACATAATGTTGTTGCAAATGTTTTTGAACATGCTGCAGATATTATATAAGATAGAAAACTATATAAACCTGTTTCATCCATTAAACGATTTTGACGTGTTTGCATTAATTGTAATTGTGCTTTTATTTGTTCATAAATTACAAAATGAACTATTGTTTCTGATACACCAACATACGATGCCGATATACCTTGAATTTATTTAAATAAAGATAAAAAAAAAACAACAACAACATTGAAATTTTGGTTTTTTTTTTTTTTAATGTAAAATTTTTTATCATACCTTTATAAAAACCCCAAATACCATTTTCACGATAAACATTTCGTATAAGATCAATTGCACGAAGATTTCTAAAATAAATAAATAATGATTTTATAGAATATATATATATATCTATAATATAATTGAAATTCTTGATTACATTCAAAATATGTGCAATAAATTTTTCTAATATAGTTCATAACAAATAGAAAATATTTGTTAGGATCTATATTAGAAATAAAGGAATTAATGTTACTTGATATTATAAAACACATTTTAAGTAAACCTAAAATGAATTAAGAATGAGCTTTGTATTTTAGATTTTCTATCAGATGTTGAAATTATTATTAAAATTAATGTTAGATTTTTTTTTTCTCTTTGTGTAAAAAAAGAAAATCTTTAGAAATTTCATAGAAATACTTTATAAAAAAAAATAATATCTTTAGGCGTGCATTAACGAATAATTACAGTGCAAATTCGTGTATATTTCAAAAGGTTAGACTTGATAGTCCGTATCAAATCTGAACTTTTGAATTGAATGCATGTCTAAATCGTTTTGTTTTTAAACATTTTACATGTTATTCCTTACCCCTGATCAATTTGAAGTCGAGTTTTAATAAACCATAATGGATTTGTACATGTAGACATAGCAATACCTTAAATATATAAATAATCAATTCGTAATATTTTATTTTAAGAATTACCTGCAGCAGCTGCTGATGTTATATGTACTAGAGGTGTTTCTCGTTCGAATTCTTCTACTAAAAATGATTTTGTATTTGCATAAGCAAAAAAATAAATCGCTCTAAAATATTAATTTTAACATAACTCAAAAAAAAAAAAACTAAATCTTTTATTCATACCGTGATGGTGCAACACCAATCAAATTTGGTATAAGACCTTTAAAAAGACCTGGAATGCCTTCATATTTGATAATATGCCTAAATTTTGAAATTTTTAAAATAAATAAAAAAAAAACAAAAAACAAAAACTTATACCGAAGTGAATTCATAATACTTGGACTTCTAATACCTGAGAACGTATGATGAGACGTTGTATTACTCATGGATGACTTTAAATTAAGATGATTTCGTTCTTGAGCAAATGCATTTTTTGATGATTGATATCGAGTTTTAATAACCTCTAATGGACATGTTAGTACAGCACCAAGTGTACCAGCAAGACTAGATTATAAAAATAAAATCATATTTTTATTTTTTTTTTTGTCAATATTCTAACCAACCCTCCAGCAAGTAAATGAGCATAGGAAGAACGATTGATATTCATTTGTTGTTGTTGTTGTTGTTGATGTTCATTATTTTTAATTGTATTCGTAGACATGAAAAATCATAGATATTAATTTTTCTTTTAAAAATTAATAAATAAATTTGAACATATCTAAAATATGTTTTATTTTATTTTTTTTGTTTTTTGAAGAACAAATAAAGTCAACAGATAAATCGACTAGTTTTATACGAGAAAACAAAACAATGAGGTTTTTTTTTTTTTTGTTTTTTTAATTAACTATATATATAGAAATGAGATTTTTTTTTTTTTGTTTTTTTGTTGTTTTCAAAAAAGAAATTGTTGCTCTTTTCGTATTGTATTTGTTATAATAATTGAAATTATATAAAGAAATCCAAGTAAAAAATTTAATAGAGCTGTTCGATTTGGTAATTTAATTAATTGATCGTGTTTAAATTCTTCACATAAACGATATGCATAAATTATAGTTAATAATGGTAAAAAACAATACCATGATATATTTATCATAATATATATTATTATTATATATGGTGAATAAATAAGTAAACAATAAAGATAATATGAATATCGTTTACCAAGTAATATTGGTAATGTTAATATACCAACAGATTTATCATGTTTCATATCACGTGTATTATTGCTATGTAGTATAGCTTCAGTATTTAATGTTAAAGGTAATGCATAAAATATTGGATAAATACTATAATGACCTGCTTGTGCCATATATGAATAAACAACTGTAATAGGACCAAATGTTAATAATATAATTATATCACCAAGAGCTATATATTTAAATCCTAAATTAACAAACAAAATAACTTCGAATTTTCATTTGACTTATATTAGCGCCTAAGTTAAATATCTTGAAAAAAGAAATGTTTCGCTATTTCCTACACAACAGTTCATAGTTTAATAATATCGAATTTCCTCTCCTTTTACTTCAAAAGCTAAGTCGCATCTGTTTTTCATGCTATTTTACCAAACTTAAAACAACGTATTCTTCGATATATGTTCATTTTTTCGTTTGTAAAAATTCTTTAGTTTTCTTTTCTCAACTCGATGTTTCACATATTTTAAACATTTTCGATAGGATTAAGATTCGAATTGTTGAGTGATCAGTCTAAAAAATATGAGAAATAGTAGTGACGACTAGTATTTCTCATATTTTAGATTCGTCGCCTAAACGCGCGAATTTGAATCGGACCGAAAATGATTGAAATATTATGAAACAATCAATAGACATTGGTTTTGTGACTTTTCAAGCGATTCTTCAAGCGTGACTTTGCTATTTCACGAAATGAACTGATTCCATACTCAGCTGCATGTAGTATCAATCTTACGGTTGCCCATAATTTCGATACTGTAAAGAACTTTGTTTTCTAAGCTGCTCCAATTGATAAGTAATTGTAGGCAAAAATGTGTGTGTAGCTCGATGGGTTTTTTTTCTTGCTGAACGAATTCCCTGATTTCAATAATATAATAGAGAAATATGATATGATTTCATATTGTTTGACTTTAATAACGAAAAAAAACAAAAATCGATAAAGTAAATGAATATCTTTAGTAGATACCCTACTAAATATAAATCTACAATAACAGAAAGAGATGTCTTCACGAAAAGCTTGGAAATGTCAAATCTTTGTGTTGACAGATTGTTCCAAGTTCTTTTTTTTGCAAATCACTGTATATATAGAAAATAGTTCATATATTAATAACGCCTGTCATGGCATCTGTTTTATTTTTGTTCAAAGTTATAAATTGCTCGATAGACGCTTTTTTTTTTTAATGTTTATCATATAACAACTGTAACATCTAAAATCTATGTATTTTTATTGATAGGAAAATTTTAAAATTGTACTATTCAAAATATTCATAAATGTATTTTAGTTATTGAAATTTTTTTTCGATTTCATTATCAGATAATATATAAATGAATTTAAACTTTTATTGAAAAAAATATTATAACAATAAAATAATCCTTTATTTTGCCTCGAACAATAACAACAATAAATTCTTCAGCATAGTTATCGAGATATGTCTTATTCTCTTTGAATAATTTATTGGGTCAAGATTCACTCGAATGAATAGAATAAATCAATAGCAAGAACTAATGAAAAAAAAAAAATATAAAAGAAAACATATCAATATAGAAACTCACTAATGAATGTATCAATCAAATTGATACCCGCTGTTTGAGCTTATGTTGAGTACACAAGGACATTTTGGTAAGAATAGAAAAATCTACAAGGGCACGTATTCATATACTTTTAGAGCCGAATAAGAATTGTTTTACTGAATTTTCGAACTAGATTTAAATCAAACAAACAGAAATTCAACGTAAAATCGAATACACTTTTTCAACCAAATAAAATGAATAATTTATTGAGTCAAATCAAAGAATGTATACAATAAGAAGAATGAGAAAAATCGAGAATGATCTTCTTCTTTACTGAAAGACGTATATATATGAAAGAAAAATGTCCTTAAAGTAACGGAAAATAGAAAAGAAAAAAGAGAACATCAAATAGCTATATATATATGTGTAACGATTGAACAATAATTTGCAGAATATTTTAAAAGTTTCAACGAAAAATAATGTTCTTTTAGTCTGATATAGAATTTTTTTTCTTTTTTTACATTGAAACTTTCAGATCGAAAATCACTCTAACTTCATTACAAAGACACTCTTATGAACATAATCTGAGTGTAGAACTGATAATTCTCTCGTCAATGAGAGAAGTTCTTTCAAAGTTTCAAAATACTTTTTCACATAGATAACAAGTCTCTTATTAACGTATGAAAAAATTTCTTAAACAAATTTAAAGTTCAATATTTTTGTTTTTCGAATATGATCATTGGAATCAATTCGGAAACTATCTCGAAAGACTCTGTCAAAAGTATAGAGTACAAAAAAAACAAAAAGAAAGAAGCTTACGATATATTTCTTTAGAATAGATATACAAAGAAATTTCATCTGTTCTTACTTTTTGAATTTTAGTTAAATTTGATTTTGAAAAATTATTTAAATTTAAATAAATAAATAAATAAATAAATAATTACCAATGCCTCCTGTATAAAGAAATGAAAATGGTAAAGCTCCAAAAAATATTATAGCCAAATAAGGTTCTTTTGCTTGTGAAAAATGTGTTAAAAAAAGAAAAGCTATTGTACCAATTGCATATAATATTAAACCAAGTCGAACAACATCATTTGGTTTAAGTAAACCTTCAATTAATGTTCGATCATCAATAGTATCAACATCATTTATATTCTCTTTATTATTATTATTATTTAATGGAGTATCAACACCATGCATATAATCATAATATCTTAAAAATATCATAAACAAAAACTTGTTTTTCTTTTTTTTATACAATAGAAAATAATGAGTGTGTGTGTGTGTTTTTTTACTTACGTATTAAATAGATTAGCAGCTGCATGAACACATAAAGCCGATATTGAAGTAAGAAGAAGAACGATTATTGACATGGCACGTAAAGATGGATAAGCAAGAGCACTACCTAATAAAACAGGCATCATACTTGTACTAAATGACCATGGTCGTACAGCTATTAAATAATTTTCTAAAGTATTCATACTTGTTTAAACTAGAAAATAAAATATAAATATATATGTTTTATCGAATGTCAGTGTGTAACATAAATTTTTTCTATTAGATTGTAAAAATAAGAAAAAAGAAGAACGTTTCGTCCTTTTGTTTTACATCATCTAGTAACCAAAATAGTAAATTTGAATGGATAACCTATGATCGAATGAAAATACTTTAGTTACTTTTATTTGATAGGATTAATAACGAATCATATTATAGATGAATCATAGATTATAAATACCGTTGAAAGTTTATCATAATAAAATCGGATTGATTTACTAGTATAATTAGATTTACACACACTTCGATGATTATCAAATTGTAAAGAGAAGATTTAAGTCAATTTTTATATCGACAAGTCAAAGAAATCATTTGTGAGATGGCGCCAGCACGTATATATATAATCTCTTACTTAGAGTTCTATCTATATTTTCTTTTGTTTTACTGTCACGGTTGAATACATATATGTTCTCTTTTCTATTATGTACAGGTGTATTCGTTTTATTTTAACTTTCTAGGTCAAAAAATATATCAGAATATTGAATGTATAAATATAAGTTTTTCTTTAAATTCACGAAACCTTATACACTAATTGACAAGGCACAAAAAAAAGTGTAACTGTCGTCGATTTGTGCAAATATCGAAAACTTCGGAACAATTACAAAATTTACATACGACTTCTATTTCATTATCATAGTACTTTTGTAAAAAAAAATGATTATGAATGAGTAATATAGTGAGAAGTTTTCATTCTTCAAGCATCTGTCTTTCAATAAACAGATTATTTCATTATGTTACAAATTCTATATAAGCTTTGTATATTAATTAAATATTCGTTAGATATAGTAGTTATAAATCAACTGTGTACTTTATTATCTATAATAAAATATCAATCCGAAGATAGCCGATTGATAAAATATCGAACGATTGTTAATTTATTATCTAATTTGAATCATATGAACTATATAGCAAAAAAGTAATATTTTATGCTTTAAGCTTTATTGAAGGTGAATATATGATAAGACACAATACATTTCGTACTATGTCATTATATATAATATTTAAAAAAGAAAAAACATATGAAGTATGCTAATAAAATCATAAAAGATAAAGAGTAGGTAGTTAAATCGATTGTATCTCTTCCTCATAAATATAAAGAAAAACTAAATATATTATCTTTAAAGTCAATTATAAAGAATTTGAAGTTAATCAAATTAATTTTTCAATTAATTCCATATATCTGATGTTGAATCTCCACCTGGATAACGTACTTCATGAGCACGTGATGGACCATGTGGTTCATTTTTAAATGAAATATAAAAATTTTGATCAAGTTTCATTCCACCATTTTCACTATCACAATCAATTTTAATTAAATATGAACCATCTTGTTTTATACCCGGATAAAATTGATCATCCCATGATGAATAAAGAGAATTTGTTACATATAAACGTTTACCATCAAGTGATAATTGAATCATTTGTGGTCCACCTGTAAGTGAACGTTTATCTTGAAAATCATTATCCTTTTTAATTAAACCACCAAGCCAAATTTGTCCAGTTAATTTTGGTTTTGATGGATTTGTTATATCATATTGACGAACATCACCATGAAGCCAATTACAAAAATAAACTAAATACAAAAAAAAAAAAACATTTAAAATTTCTCAAAAGAAAAAAAAAACTACATACTAAATTTATCATTAAGTGAAATAAGCATATCAGATATAATAGCTGGTACTGGTTGATTATTATTACCAGTTGCTGATTCAACTTGTATAACTTTTTCAACTTGCCATTCTTTTAAATCATCTTGAAAATATCGAAATACAGAACTACCTAATGCACATACAACATAACCATATGATGTTGTTGGATTATGACAAAAACGTAATTCAAGTGGTATTAATCCATCTTTACCAAGATCAATTGTTTTTAAATATTTACGTTTTGACCAATCCCAAAAATGTAATGAATGACCATATTTATTTGAACTAACATCATCTGGATTAAAACCTAAATATAAAATCAACAATAAAGTTTTTTTTTTTTTTTATTGTTTCATACCTTTATCAAAAATATTTGGAGCTGCCCATTCACTACTAACCATTATATTAGATCTTGGTTTATACCAAAAATCATAATAAAATTGAACTGGTAATGAATCATTTTCTTTATTCCATCGATCAATAACTTCAAAATTTTGATTAAGTAAAATAAAACCACCTGGTAATTCACCTTTAGCATTTCCCAAACATGAAATCATAATTTCACCACTACCTTTTTTTGTTTTTTTTTAAGAACAAACGAAAAACAAAATAGAATTTTTTTTAAATAAAATTTAAAAAATCTTTCCTTTTTTTTTTCTTCTTTATTTACCTAAACAATGAACTGTATGTGGAGCAGTTAAATCGAATTTTTTTAATTCATCACTTTCTATTGTTTTATATATACTAGGTTTTTTTTCATCAGATGTATCAACAATATAAATTCTTGATGATTTAAAACCACCTAATATAATAAATCGTCGTTGTTTACTAGAATCATCATGACATGATGAACAAGCATTCCAACCAAAATGATGTAATTCATCATTTATATTTGGAACATACAATCGATGAATAACTTGTTGATAACTATGAGAAGTTGGATCAACATCAATAGTTGCTAAATAATTAGGTTGATCTTCTTGACATGGTATCATTGCAACATATAAGATTTTTTCACGTGGACCATTTTGCATAGCTTCAAGTGGACTAGCATAACCTGGTCCTTTTTTACAGCATGATGATGACATTATGAATCTAGAGCAATAAGAAAAATAAAATATGTCATAGTTATGTGTCTAATAGACATCCAAAAAACAAAATGTCGTCGTACATTTTCTCTATAGTAGGCAAGTGTATTTGTAAATATTATCTTCGTAAATAGAATGTGTATTGAAATATACCTTGACAATGTTTTATAAACAATATATTACAGAGAAAAGAAAAAGAAAATCATGTTATTTCATTGGACGAAACCTGCATATCGAGGACGAAAAAAAAGGCTTTTTTTTCTTCGTTATTTGATAAAACCAAAAGATAGACGGGAGAATAAAAGAAAAAAAAAAAAAATAAGTTAAATTTACTATTGCTCCATTAATAAAACCGATATAATCATCTTGAAAAAAATGATCTGATTTTATTTAGCAAGATGTACTGCATATATTATGTTATTCTCAGTAAAATGTAAAATAGCATAGTAATCTTTACACATGCAAAAAGAAATGCACATGAATAGAATTATTTTCTTTCGGTAAATAAATAAAAATTTTAAGTTAAAATACAAAGTCAAACAAATCTATCTTATAAACATGGTTACAAGTACTTTACTGTTACATTTTTATCAAAATAGTTGAGTTTATATATGTAAGAAAACAAAAAAGAAAGAAAAAACCAGAACCTATATATTTATGGTGAAGCTTTGCGACTTTAACAAACGAAAAAAAAAAAGGAAAAGAGAGTGAGTAATAAGCTAGTAGGAATATTTTACCACTCATCTTCTCTAACTAACGATATACTATTTATAGCTTTCATATTCACCTTGGGTTCGTCAATTTTCTTTTCTAAAAGAATATGTCATAGATATATACATAAACGATGATATATTGCATTACAGATATAAGCACGTTTATTTTCTTGCAATTATTATTTGATACACATTCTCACCAGTGACACCTACATGAAATTTTGAAGTAAATGAATAAATGTAGAATATTTTTAATGTGATAAAATCGAAAACTATAAAAAGAAAAGAGAAATATAATTCTTATCGACTCATTAAATGTATTGACATATTTCTATCATTCAAACAAAAGAAAAGTATCTAAGACACATGTACGACTTTGAAAAAGTAACTGTGATTTTCATTTTACTACTGAAAAAGAAAAACGAAGTGTTGGCATGATACTGTTCAAAGTAGATATAGTACTTTGCTTATTTGTTGTGCAAAGTTATTCTTCTTACTTTTGTTTATATATTGTACCTTCTAGATCAGAGACTAAACTCGAGTGAGGTGAATTACAACTATAAACATTGTTTATTTTTTGACAGTTTTCAACACACTATAATCCTATCTATCTTTAATGAGGACGTATATATTTCAAGTAAGATGTGCTTTTATAATCGATAAGGTAGCATTTTCTAATTTTAAGGATTGACTCATAAAGAATGAAACATTTTTATTTTCTTTTTCAGAAAACTAGATCAATGTTTGATTATGCAAATGCAATAGTTCAAACATAATGAAAAAAGATTCGTTCTCTTTTAGTACAATTTAGAATGTTGAAATAGAGATCAATGATTGAAAAATTATATAATTTCATTTGAAACTTGTTTTTAAATATTTTCTCATAGCTGGAACTCAAAAAACTGAATGTATTTTAGAAGACTAAAATAGTTTACAGATGTTATATAATTAAGATTTTAATATACGATTCTAGTATTTTATTTTTGAACACATAAAATATCAATAACATAGTTTAAAATGGAATGTCAACTCAAAATGAGGTTCTGACTTAACGAAAAATTTTATTTGAGACAAGAAGATGAGTGAAAGATCCTTCCAATTTCAGCTTCTCAATATGTAATGTGCATAGTTAATAATTCTACAGGAGACGAAAATATTACAATTTTCGATATTAACTCAATATTTACAATTAACATGAAGGGTGTTGTATTAATTCTGGCCTTCAATGAAAATTAGTTTACATATAAACAAAGAGCGATACCTACTCAACTATATCTATATGAGCTTCTAATATTCAAGACGATGTTTTCAGAGGACATACTCTTTTTCTGACTCAAAAAAAGAGTTTTTTTTCGACTTCGAGGTTTTGAATTCTAGAGATGTATTGAAATGTTCTCTATTAAATTTCGTAAAAATCAGAACTGTACCAAGCTCGTATAAGTTTTGAAAAAAATTAGTTTCGAGAACTTCTATCTTG